CGACTGTTGCTACATCTACATATACCTAGCAATTAGACATACAACGATGCTACGAGCTATGTTATCAAATGGAGATAAAAATCTCACAGTGGACTTAATTTTCCATTATTTACAACAGATAACTTCATAACAAATGAAGTTGGTGAAATTAAATCTATGCCAATGCACACCCAGTATATTCAACTAAAGAGCTCTCTTAATCACGGTTTTGTGTACACAATATTCAATATAACAGTGTCATTAGTCATTTCACCAAGCCTGATAATTGCGATAAATCATCCCGATAATAATCACCGGTCTGGGTATTAAATGTTTTGATACTATACCAATAAGTTATTTTGGTTTACTTAACATTCTATTATTTAGTTTTATCAGTGCCTTATCATTTGTTTATTTAGCAGTAATTAGATGGCGCTATTATTAGACTAAATAAAGAGCAGATCTCAAACATTTATTTTTTTTATATAAATAAGGCAAACAGTGATGTTGATTCTGTAAAATATTCTGCTTCTGTTAAAAATATACTATAAGCGCCGCTGGCGGTGAAAAGCTATTTGACGATATGACCATCATGAAACAGCTATTTAAATATTAATATCGTCAAACGATCTCTATTCTTTGATTTGGTTTATGGTGTTAATACGTGATAAACTTAGAAATGAGGATATCCGCAGTAGAATCAGAGTATCCGAGATAGCTCAACGAATTAGTAAGCTGAAATGGCAATGGGCCGACCACATATAGCTCAAATGTCTGACAACCATTGGAGAAGAGATGTTCCTAAGTGGGCAGCCTCGTACCGGCAGACAAAATGAGGGCGACCCCCACTAGATGGAGTGACGTACTGGTAAGACATGCAGAAAGTCGATAAAGGACGTGGCTTAGGACGGTGATTTGGGGCATTTCTTGGGAGAGGTCTATATTCAGCAGTAAACTTCTGAAGGACTGTTATGATGATGTATTGATAAATCGTGACACAAACAGACGTTTCTTTACGTGGTAGAGTCACGCTGCAGCTATACTATAGTTATAGCCCGAATGGGTCGGCTCGACCGCGGAAGGACCATGCTCTCACAGAATACCGGCGTAAAATAACAGCCTAATGCTGCTGTGTTTCGTATGGTGGGTGTAGAGAACCGGAGATCCTTTTTACTGAAAACGGCATTCTATCTCAGTTCAACAAGAATGTGGCATTCTATCTTAGTGACAACGCACCTGAATTTTCATTCGCTATTGAGGATAAATGTGGATATCTATGGGCCACAGCATTCACTTAACATCAGGTAGACTGTGTGCTCGTTTTTCATCCTATTATATAAAATAATAAATAAAAAAATAAACAGACAGACCGACTGACGTGCAAAAATTATAAAATCTAGTAATTTGTTTTCAATACTTATTAATATTTATTTTATTTTCATAAATATGTTAGAATTACAGACACGACTTTTCTACAAATGTTTTATATGTATAGATTACACCTCAGTGACCATTATGACTGCAAAAATATACAGTATTCAGATATAAAACGGTGACAAGTGAAAAATTTATTTATATAATTATATTACTTAACAAAGAAACTACACATCATGTACTTAAATTGATGTGTAGATCGTTAATTTTAATAACTGTAATCATTAAATTAATCTATACTTGCTTATTCTTATTCTATACTCTATGTTTCCCAAAAATAAAAATACTAATTAAAAATAGTAATCAAAATAATTGGATTGGAAACAAAAAGAGCACTACGGTATCAATATTATAAAAATAAAACTATAATAAATAAGATTATTTATAAAAAATATTCTCATTTATTAAAAAATGTATCAACCAATCAAAGAAAACATGGTCCATCATAAAAAGTGAAATTTCAAATACAAGATTGGATAATAATATTAAGGATCTAAAAATAAATGATAAAAACCTAACAAACACTTATGACATAGCCACCGCTTTTAATAACTATTATATTATATATAATAATGATAAAACAGAAAACATTACGCCTGATAATACAATATCATTATCAAATTCAATATTTCTTAAACCCATGTCGAAAGATGAGGTGAATAAAGAGATCATGTCCTTAATAACACTGCCTCGGAAGGTTACGATGGAATTAATACCAAAATAATTAAAGCATGTGCATGCGAACTTGTCGATATTATGACTTATTTAATTAATTTATCATTTTCGACAGGAACATTTCCCGACAATTTAAAAATTTCTATTGTAAAACCGTGGTTTAAAAAAGGTAAAAAAGACGATATCAATTATAGACCGATAACTCTTATACCTATAATATCAAAAGTTTTTGAGAAATGTTTTTATAAGAGATTAACGGAGTTTTGTGAGAGATTTAATAAAGACATAATCAAAAAAGAACAATACGGCTTCCAGAAAAAGAAATCTACAACGCTAGCAACTTTTAATCTTATAAAAATAATAATTTCTAGTATAAATAAAAACCTACTAACTACAGGACTATTCTTTGATTTAAGTAAAGCGTTTGACTTCGTCACACATAGCTTTCTTCTAAATAAACTAGAATCGTGTGGAATGAGAGGGATAGCACTAAAGTGGATTTCATCTTATTTATCAAATCGACGACAATGTGTTACTATTGATAAAATGGTAGGAAATGAAATACTATCCTTCTCGTCCCAGTACAGGGAAAAGAATTACGGTGTTCCTCAAGGCAGCGTTTTAGGGCCAGTATTATTTTTGTTATATATAAATGACATAACTCTAGCGACAAATCATAAATGCATACTGTATGCGGACGATATTTCCGTAATTATAACATCCCACAAAAATAGTAATTCATTAGATAATCATGAAAAGGAAATAAATAGCACAATCGATGATATAATTAATTGGCTGCATACGCACAATTTAAAAATTAACCTAAACAAATCAAATTACATACATTTTAATAAGATAAAAACTAATTTTAGTCTAAATATTAATAAAATTGACGAAACAGAACAAACAAAATTTCTTGGTGTGATTTTAGATCGAAATTTAGACTGGAAGATACATATAGATGAGCTATGTAAAAGGGTTAATAGTTTTGTATATGCGCTACGTACAGAAAAAAATGTTACTAATAATAAAACAGCCATAATATACTATCGGGCGTATATTGAATCCATACTCCGATATGGTATAATAGTGTGGGGTAATAGCACAGATTGGCGTAGGGTATTTATCGCACACAAAAAGTGCATAAGGGTGATATGTGGCATCTCAACAAGAGAATCTTGTAAGCCTCTCTTGTAACTCTGCCATCTTTATATATATATTTGAGATAGGTAAATTTGTAAAACAGCATACAGCTTTATTTAAAAAGTCCTCTGATGTTAATCCAAGGCTTAAAAGAAATCCGAATAGGTTAGTTCTAAGCGAAGTTCCGAAATCAACTAAATATAGTAAAAGCTGTTTATCAATGTGTGTATACAACAAAATACCTGACGAAATTAAAACAATAAATGATATGAATTTATTTAAAAATAGACTGTACCTTTGGTTAATTGACAAAATTTTTTATGACATTAACGAATTTCTGACATTGTAAGCCATATTCTGACATTATATTCTGACCATTAGTGTGTTGTAATTCTGACATTGTATAATATGATTTGAAATAATGTTTAATTTGTTAATTTTTAATATCATATAGGTCATTTTTTGTTTAAAGTTTCTTATTATTTAAACTTATAATTTAAATATAATTAGCATGCTATGTCATATTAAAATAGCAAAACATGAGATTACAATACAACTAAAACATCTGTATCTATATTTACCATGTTTTATGCAAATAAAGATTATTATTATTATTATACGTATAAATAAAATTGAAGTGTCTGCTTGTCACTTGCAAGCAACTGAGACCTGAATAACCATTTTTTTAATTTTTGTCTGTCTGTCCGGGCTTATCTTCGAAATGGCTGAACTTGATACGCAATATGTAAACCGTCAAATATAACAAACAAAAATACGATCGTTTCGGAGTAATTCGTGTACATGGATTTGTTAGTCAGATATGGACTTATGTTGAAATACACGTACTGCAAAAAATTATATTTAGGTTAAAAGCGGTGATAAGAGCTATTAGTAACATTCCATCGGGCATATCCTGTTTACATTATTTTAATAATTTAAATAATTCTTCCTATTCCTTATCTCTTTATTTTGAAGTAGCCAAATATGCTATAAAATAAACACATATTTTACAAGCTAAAGATATTATAAAAATAAACAAATAAAACCCAGATAAAATGGTACTCACCACGATTCCAAGAAGTTAAGCGCTTTCTAATAAAAGCGACGCTATGTGCAATTATAGCAAAATGCTCTGTCATTTTAAGCAATGACCAAACAGATTTCAAAATTTTGAGGTGATAGAGCCATGCTGCAGCCACGCTCTCACAGAATACTAGCTCAATGCTGCTGTGTTTCGTATGGTGAATGTAGAGAAGCGGAGACCATTTTTACTGTACCTACATCTTAGTCCTCAGGCGTGACAACGCATCTGCGTTTTGATACTTAATTGAATATAGATGTAGGTGTCTATGAGCCACAGCATACACTTACCATCAGGTGGACTGCGTGGCCATTTGTCACCCTTATTCAATAAATAAAAATTTTAAAGTGTTTTGTCTTACAAGAGCTTCAAACACGGAATCAGCAAAATGACAGCTCAATTTTGCAGTGAGTTAGCATTCAGTCGCGGCGCTAGAGAGCCGCCGACCAACACACAAATATGGCCTACATATTATAATTGTACAGGATGTTTGTCCTTATGCAATTTATGTATGTAAACTGCCTCCACGATACAGGAGAACATTCTAGCGTGAGGCTATAGTTATTAAAATAAAAAAAATGTTTAAAGAAACTTTTGATGTTCGGCAATCTGGAAAGTGTTTTACAAGACGCCTAGGTTATGCCTTGAATGCTGGTCAGTTTGATCGTGGCTCTTGCGCAAAGTGGTTATGGATCGCATCACGTTCAAAGTCAACGGTGTTCAATATTCGGGTATGTTTTTTCAAAGCAAATTCAATTATTTAACAATGTATTATTTTTATGAATGAATATGTACGAGTATATGTTACAGAAATGGCTTTAATTTAGCTTAGATCCCGGGGTCACCTTAGTTTATAATATTTTTTATAACTATCCTTCTTCTATAAAAAATTTACATAAAACATATATTTGTTATAATTATAAAAAGGTAAATAATGTTTTAGTTTCAGATATTCAGTGGTATCAAACAATTTTTTTAAATTTATTTAGAGAACCATAAACAAATTTACAATATATTTTATGCGAAAGCCTATGTTCCATTACAGTTTCTTACTTATCATAAACTTAACGACGATGGTCACACATAGAGTTTATACTCTATATAGATTAATTATGCGAGGGACCTATTTTTGTAAAAAAAAAACGAACCTTAATTTCCACAATATTATTTTAACATGTATTAGAGGTTATAGTTTTGTGTGTTTGTGTGGCTATGCATGCATATATATAGTCATTGGTTAGTTAATTTATAGTTAGTGTTAGTAGTTCATGTGTTGAAGACTTTAAAAGAGACATTAAGTGTTTAACAGCAAATTATAAAACAAATAATATTATTTCGTGCATAAATCTTATATTTATTTTTCTACAACATTATCTTGTTCTCCTTTCTTACTCCTAGGTAAAAACCAAAATTTGATGCCCTTTTAAGTTGACTTCAAAAAAAGTTGGAAACTCTCAATTCGACTGTATATTCTTTTTTTTTTATACGCGATGTCTTCGGTAATTAGACATCAATTTTAATTATTAGTTTTACATTAAATAGGGTATCCCTAAGGATAGAAAACAGGGGATAAAGTTTATGATGTAAAGGGTAAAAATTACCTCTTAATATTTAAATTCCAATTATTCCAAAAATTGTGTGTGTGTGTGTGTGTGTGTGTGTGTATGTGAGCGTGTGTGTGTGCGTGCGTGCGTGAGTGCGTGCGTGCGTGCGTGCGTGCGTGCTTGCGTGCGTGCGTGCGTGCTTACGTGCGTGCGTGCGTGTGTGCGTCTATGCGTCTGTGCGTGTGTGCGTGTGTGTGTGTGTGTGCGTCTGTGCGTCTGTGCGTGTGTGCGTGTGAGCGTGTGTGCGCGTGTGTGTGCGTGTGTGCGCGTGTGTGCGCGTGTGTGCGCATGTGTGCGCGTTTGTGCGCGTGTGCGTGCGTGTGCGTGCGTGTGCGTGTGCGTGTGTGTGCCGGTGCGTGCGTGCGTGCGCTCGTTCATGTGCGCGTGCGCGCGTGCTTGTGCGCGTATGTGTGTGTGTGCGTGTGTGCGTGTGAGCGTGTGTGCGCGTGTGTGTGCGTGTGTGCGCGTGTGTGCGCGTGTGTGCGCATGTGTGCGCGTTTGTGCGCGTGTGCGTGCGTGTGCGTGCGTGTGCGTGTGCGTGTGTGTGCCGGTGCGTGCGTGCGTGCGTGCGCGCGTTTATGTGCGCATGCGCGCGTGCTTGTGCGCGTATGTGTGTGCGTGTGTGTGTGTGTGTGTGTGTGTGTGTGTGTGTGTGCGCGCGCGTGTGTGTGTGTGTGTGTGTGTGTGTGTGTGTGTGTGTGTGTGTGTGTGTAAATGTTCTTTGATTATTATAAATCTTAATATAGATCCTATTCATACGAAGCTGGAATGGGTCTTGCTTGAAATAAAACTGATATACTACCACGTTTTATTAAATCACTTTATAGTTTTTTCGTCTGTCTGTCTGTCGTTCCGGGTGGAATCTTGAAACTCATATTTCTAGCACTTCGCGATGAGCTAGAGACTTGAAACTTTGAACATAAGTATATTTAATTTTTTTAGTACAAAATTAAAAAAAATATATCACTTGTTATATCAATAAAATAAAAGGGGTTGTTCTTCTTCTAGAAGTCCACTGTTGAGCATGAGCCTATTATGTCGTAAAAGTATACGTGGTAGAGCCACGCTGCAGCTATATTGTGAATGTAGCACGAATGGATCAGCTTGATCGGGGACCATACTGTCACAGAATACCAGCGTAAATTAGCAGAGCTTAATATTGCTGTATGTAAATGCAGAGAGCCGGAGACACTTTTTACGGGAAACAAGGCATTCCATCTTAGTCCATGGGGGTGATTACGTATCTGCATTTTGATTCTTAATTGAGCATAAATGTAGATGTCTATGGGCCACAGAATCCACTTACCATCAGGTGGACTGTGTGCTAGTTTGTCACCCATTTTCGTCAAAAAAAATTATATGCCTAAATCGTCATAATACCGTGTAGCACTTAATTATCGTCTTGTAACGCCTTATGTTAGGAGATTTTATTGGAAGGGTTGGGGTGAAGAGGTCCGGTTATGAAAGGATATTAGAGAGCGAATGAAAGGAAAAGTAATACGTTGTGGTGGGATGATGAGGTACGGATGGAAGTTGAAGCAAAGAAGAGGGCATGGCTAGATTTACTAGCAACCAAAGCTGGTAATTCTGGCGGTATGAATGATGAGATTGAAAGAAAAAAGGCAGACTTTAGACGTATAAATAAGAGAGTAAAAGAAGTTGTTGAAAGGAAAAAGCAAGAAAGGATAGATAAAAATGATAGAAGGATATCTGATAACTTCCAGGAAAATATTAAAATGTTCTGGAAGCTCGTAAGAACTGCCAGGGAAAATTCAAAACAGCCTAGAATAAATGCTATACGAGACGAGAATGGCTGCATGCTGAATGATGAAGTTTCGAATTTAAAGAGATGGATTCCTTCCATCTCTTTAAATTCGAAATTCCACTTTGAAAGCGTGTTTAAGAGTAAAGAGTCGTCTTAAGTAAGTGAAATAGAAATTTCGGAAGAAGTGGAGAGAGGTAGGAGGTAGAGTAGATAAGTGTAGATGAAATAATGAAAGCAATGAAAAGCATGAAAGCAGGTAAGGCAGCCGGATATGATAGAGTATCACTCGAAATGCTAAGGGCTGGAGAGGATGTGGTTGCAGGCCTGCTGAACATCTTGTATAATTTATGTTGGGAACTGAAGCGGGTACCGGAAGACTGGTGCAAAGCCGTTATAGTCCCAATATATAAGGGAAAGGGGTCGCGGCAGGACTGTAAAAACTATCGTGGTATCAGCTTGCTTAGCATTGTGGGTAAACTGTATGCTAAGGTGTTAATTGAAAGAGTTATGGAAGAAACTGATGGAAAAATTGGGGATGTGCAAGCTGGATTTAGAAAGGGGATGGGGTGTACGGATCAAGTTTTTTCCATGAAACTGATTGAAATTAAATGAAAAATGAAAATAATTTTTCAAAATAAATGAACACACATATATATAGACTTTTCTTCGTTCATAAATTGCAACCTTTTATTGTCCAGACGTGAAAATACGAACAGTATAATTCATCATCATCATCATCATCATTACAGCCCTTTACAAGTCCACTGCTGAACATAGGCCTCCCCCAAAGAATGCCACAAAGCACGGTCCTGAGCCACCCGCATCCATCGACTTCCTGCATGTCTTACCAGGTCGTCACTCCATCTAGTGGGGGGACGCCCTACACTTCGCCTACCGGTACGAGGCCGCCACTCGAGAACCTTTCTTCCCCATCGGTTGTCGGTTCTTCGAGCTATATGGCCGGCCCACTGCCACTTCAGCTTACTAATCCGTTGGGTTATGTCGGTTACTCTGGTTCTATTGCGGATATCCTCATTCCTAAGTTTATCACGCAGAGAAACTCCGAGCATAGCCCTCTCCATAGCTCGCTGAGCGACCTTGAGCTTTCTCATCCGGCCAGCAGTGAAGGACCACGTCTCAGTTCCGTAAGTCATCACTGGCAACACGCACTGGTTGTACAATTTCGTTTTAAGGTTTTGAGGTATGTCTGACGAGAAGATGTGTCTTAGCTTCCCGAACGCTGCCCAGCCGAGTTGAATCCGTCGATTGACTTCTCGGTCGAAGTTGGACTTACCTAGTCGGACTATTTGTCCCAGGTAAGCATACTCGTCAACAACTTAGAGCTTAGTGTTCCCAACAACTACCGGCATAGGTGTGACATGGATATTAATCATGATCTTTGTTTTGTCCATGTTCATCTTAAGACCTATCCGTTGGGAAACACTATTAAGGTCATTGAGCATAGTGCTTAGGTCCTCCAGCGATTCTGCCATAAGGACTATATCGTCGGTAAATCGAAGGTGAGTGATGTACTCGCCATTGATGTTGATACCGTATCCTTTCCAGTCCAGAAGCTTGAAAACGTCTTCCAATGCAGCGGTGAAGAGTTTCGGGGATATGACGTCACCCTGTCTTACACCTCTCTGCAATTGGATAGGTTTCGTACTCTGGTTCTGTACTCGGATAGCCATCGTAGCCCTACTGTACAAGCACTTCAACACTTCGATATACCGGCAGTCAACTTGGCACCGCTGAAGGGACTGCAGCACCGCCCAAATTTCGATGGAATCAAAGGCTTTCTCATAGTCCACATACGCCAGACATAGTGGCAAATTGTACTCTTCGGACTTCTGTACAATTTGCCGAAGGGTATGTATGTGATCTATGGTGCTAAAGCCCTTTCGGAAACCGGCTTGTTCGGGAGGCTGGAAGTCGTCAAGTCTGCGCGCGAGACGATTCGTAATGACTCTCGAAAACAGCACGTAGACGCGGCTCAGAAGGAAAATCGGTCTGTAGTTCTTCAAGAGAGCGTTGTCACCTTTCTTGAAGAACAAGACCACCGCACTTCTGCTCCACGCCTCCGGTGTAATGCCACCATGGAGGACGGAATTAAAGAGCTTCTGAAGGACTTCAAGTACCGATTTTCCACCCGCTTTCAGAAGCTCCGCTGTAATTCCATCCTCGCCTGGGGCCTTACCGTTTTTAAGGTGCTGGAGAGCCATTCTAATCTCGCTCAGACTGACGTCCGGGATATCTTCGGAATAGTGCCGGATGAGACTCGCTCTTGGATCGTTACTCACACTTGCGTGTTGCTCCAACGATGACGTGTACAACTGCCCATAGAACCTCTCAATCTCACTCA